TCCTCTAAGTGATCGAAGCTCAGATGGAGAACAGAAGAAATAGCATCCTCTGTAGAGCGATTTGGTCTGCAAGCAAACTGAAGCGGGTCATGTGCTGGCGGGAGGCTATCAACTGCAACTACATTTAATTGATGGAAGAACAGAGCTGAAAATTCTACAGTAATTAACAACACAGACTTTACTAACATTCAATATATTTATATATTCAATGTATAAATCAAAAGATAAAATATAACTGAAAGAAAAGATTATAGGGAAATGGGGAAGGGGAAAAAGGGGAAGAGAGAACTATGGGATAAAGGGGGGAACGCATTAACGTCTAAGTATTTTCAGCACGGTAGAATAAAGGTAATAAAATTATAGCCTCAACCTTTTACTTTTGCGTACTTGGTACTATATACTAGCCAAGTATGTAACAACAAACACTTTGGCTTTACTATTACCAACATTAACCACTTGCAATTCATAGAAATATATACAGCAATACTTTGTTATAAACCTTGTGTTGTATAACATTTCTCTTTACCCTGTTTAAATAACTATGCATTGCTAATATAACTTAGTTTTTGCAAAACAACACTACATAATCACTTCCTAATTTTTCAGCAAATGAAATGTAGTGACAACAATATATGTAACTGGGAACATAATAAAGCTCTTGGTAATTACTACTCTTGACTCAATCTGTTTTAAGAGCAATTAAGGTGTGGCAACAGAATTAAGGATTAAGAAAAAACCAGTGATGCATGCAAATACAATCTGTGCAACTGTTTTCACCTGAATGTGACAATACAAAGAGATCATATTGTCTTCCTCCTGTTATCCTCTGTATTTTTGCAATACGTATTTTGCAAGGAATTGGAACCAATTTTAGCAGCTCTCTGCAAAGTTAATTAGAATATTCACTGAACTGTGATGACACTACGCTGAATAGAACAAGATTATCAATATCAATCATATATCTAGTGGGTGTGCTTGTTAGCTTGTGGTTATCTTACAGTTTGACAGAGCTGTCAGAAATTCAAATCCTGTTTTATTCATTTAATATAAGGCGTTTTTTAAAAAAGAAAAAAACCAATTATTTAATTTTTATTAAATGAATTAAAATAGTGTATTTCACATTCCAAATGACATCAATAGGACTTCAAAAAACTTCACCCTTTTGCATAGAGTATGCCTCTATATTTCTAAATTCATTGGGAAACAATGACCATAGCGTTTTAGGCACAGTTGTGTACTGTTGTCAGAAATTCGCCACCTATGCACATAATTTCAGGCGTGTAAACAATATCTGATCTATAGGATATTTTGACAAGGTTTAAAATGCATAACAATGTCTTATTGATTGCTGATTTTTCTTAAATTTGGGGAATAGCTATTTCTGATGGGCTAATTAAGGGATAAATTAGTTATAATTAAGGTGATATATCTCAGAACAAGGATAATTAGATCAACCAAGATCTACACAGTATTAAAGTAGGAGATTAAATAGTTATTGAAGTTCAAAAAAAATTGGCAATTTCCTTTACATATACATTGCAGGGGGAGAAGCAGTCATACACATTTACCAAAGACAGCTGTAAGCTAGAATGCACACATGCTTAACATATGGACTAGCATGCTTACTCTAACTTAAGGAAAGAAAATGTGGAGAGAAAAGAAACAGTGATGACAGAATACAAAAAAAAAAAGGATGGCTATGTAAACCATTTAGAAAATAAGTTGATAGATACAGAGTATAAATTAATAGGAAAAAGAAAAATAACTGCTAAGCAGAATAACCAGTTCTAGATTGGGTAGTTTGAGGACAATTGAAATCTCTGTCTACATAGGCTAGACTTTGCAATCTATAAAGTAGAGCCAATGTATGCAAGACCAAATGCCTCTTATGTTTGTTATGACCTCATAATCTTCTGGACACCGAGTCAGTCTGAAATGAAGGGAAGAGTAAAAGAGACTAAATTCATTATTAGGGTAACTGGACACCCAAGTCACCCAACTAGCTTTAACTGTACGGTAATCAATAATAAACTAGTTAAGATTGCTTTCATAGGTTCTTTCACCAGTGAAATGCCTAACTAATCACCAAGAGAAATATACTTGCATTCATCTTCCTTGACTCTGACATTCTCCATATAGGTGCACTTAAACTGTAACATTCCTCCGCCGGCATGGCCTTTGCTGAGAAACCTGGAAGTAGATATCTAGATGTTGTCCACAGGGATGTACATGCTGTATCTCAGGAACTTCATTAAACACTCAAGGACCAGAATACAGGTTGTCCTCAACGTACAACGATTCATTTAGTGATCGTTTGAAGTTACAATGGTACTGAAAAAAAGTGACTTGTGACTGTTTTTCACACTTATTGATCATTGCAGCATTCCCATGCTTACCTGCACAAAATTCAGACACTTGGCAACTGGCATGTATTTATGACTGTTGCATTGTCCCTGGGTCGCAAAGGGTCACTTTGCGACCTTCTGACAAGCAAAGTCAATAGGGAAGCCAGATTCACTTAACAACCATGTGATTAACAACTGCAGTGATTCACTTAACAACTACGGCAAGAAAGGTTGTAAGATGGGGCTAAATTCACTTAATAAATGTCTCACTTAGTAACAGAAATTTTGGGCTCAATTGTGGTCGTAAGTCGAAGGGTAATCTGTATGTCAGACACAGAATCAGGCTGAGGATTCAGTGAGGCAAAAGTAACCTAAAGCAGTCTCTTACACATCAAAACGATTAAAGAAAGAAGTGGCATTACTATTTCTGAAGAAGGGAATTAGCTAGTAGAAGGAAGGGTTCAGAATGATGCCAGGGTCAACAAGGAGTAGGAGGAAGACATAATTTTTTACAGCCAGATCCATAATGCTGAGGGCCAGGCAAAGCAAAGAGAACCACTCAATATGTGTGCAAAGTTATTTATAGGACTCTCGATGCAAGTGACAACAGCTTTGGCTCTGATACTGCAGAGCTTTTCATTATACTATCTGTTTTTGAAATATAAATGACAGCTTTCTATTCCAACACACACAAACTCTTTTAATCATTCCAAATGCAAATTTTTAAATGCATTGTTCCTGAAGTACTACATTAGTATATTTAATATGATAAATTGTTTGCTTTCGTATACATGACTTTAACAAGTTTTTTTGTGACACACCTTTTCTGATTTTAGGTAGCCTGGAAGACAGAAATTGGGCTCTGAAATGCTGAGTTTGTACAACAGAACAATGCAACAAGCATTTTGAGCTTTTTTTCCTCTTTCGGTTTTAGATCTTAAAATATTCATAAAGACACAATGCTTTATTTAAAAAAGGCTTTCTACCAATGCCTATGGTAACATTTAACAAAGGTATCTTATAATGCTTTCCCCAGCAAATTTAAAATAAAATAAAAGTATCACTCACCTACCTATTCTATAATACAAACAGAAATATACAAGAAAATATCAAAGCACTATGATCAGAATTATTCATGCCTATCCTAGTGATCCATGTTTATTCTAATTTACAGTATATTTATTTAGCTATTGAATATGAAACAGCACAGTGCTACATGATTATATCTGTCTAACGATTCCAAGTAATTTCACACAAGATTATGTACTTTGTATTTTTTTTTCTGACCTAAACATTGCAGTAGGTATGCAGTGGCAAAATTAATTACAGCTCCATTCTTTTTTCCTGCCCACAGGGCCCACATTTCTGTTATTTATAAAATAATGAGCAATGCAAGAGGTAAAGATATACAGTACTGTAAGTATAACTTTAGTTTGTCCCTGACTGTATAATTGTTTGATTTCTGATGCTATTTTTCTGATCAAACTTACTCAACTGTAGGCTAGAAAGTTCAAGATCAGTACCCGTGCCCTGATATCTTAGACCTTAGACTAGGTGAAATTATGTAAATAAAGCCATGGCATATTACATACAGTACTCAGTTCTTTCTCCCATTTTCATGGAGATTACAAGGTTCTTCAGAACTCATTTGCTCATGCCAGTTTCTAAGATTTGCTAGACAAGTGTACATGAGAGTTGTAACCATTGTTTTAGCCTCTAATCTTTTCTTACTGGCACTTTCCCGCTATAAGTAACTTCCTATGGTACTGTTTCATTACATAAAACATGGAGGCGTTTATTTTTCATGCATACATGCACAAAAGCATGCACATTCGGAAGCAAGCATGTTTTCTACATCCCCCACATTCTCAACACGCACAGTTGCACTCAATTTACATCTCCTTCCAATCACAGCCTGTTGCAGGAAACTCTTCTTCATAATTAATTAAAAAAAACTGTATAAGAGGGTAAAGTCTGTGTCTCTCCTGCCCCAAACAAATAATCTGCTTAGCATGGAGTGACACAGCATGTGAACCAATTGCAACCTTGGCAGGATTAACGAATAGAAATCATGCATTTCCTATATAGCTACACACCTGGTAATTATACACCTAAAACAAGTAACTATCTTCATCCATTTTTGTGGAGAAACACTAAAAGTCAAATAGCAGCTTGTTGAAATGTTTATTAAAGAAAAACGGTCCACGGGAGGGGGGGGGGCAGAAACAGCACTTTAGCAGATGATTAACGTTATACTTTGAATCTAATATGATAAATCATATTCTGTCAGTGGAATAAGATAAAATCAAAATAATGAATTACTGCTACACTTTTACACAAACTATGCTTTGATAGATTGCTTGCCTTGACATCACCCACTGTGCAACTTAATGCAGCAGGGCCTGTCTGTTCAATGTGAATTTCAAGCTGCAGGTACCAATGTATGCATCCCCCACTGAAGGAGGCATCCAAGGTTTTCAGCAAAGGAGCTATATTACATATGGTCCTTTCCTGTGGTGCTGTGAAAAGATTTTTAGTACTGTGCCACCAGGAGGTTTTGAGAAATCATGAGGGCAGAAAAAAAATAATTGGCCCAGTGGAAATAAAGTATTAATGAAAGCTTCAGCAGAGATAAAAATAGCTTTAAGTACTCACATATATTCTCTGTGTGCCGAATGAACTGCTGCTGCATTGCTGTAACGCCATAGAACTATCACTGAAGAAAACACATCCAAAGTGGCATCAAACTGGAAAAGATAATAAACAATTTAATTGGGGTAACTAAAGCAAAACATGTTGCAATGAAAGATTGGTAAGGGTACTGCAAGGCTATATATGAATACAGCATTAATCATTGGAACAAAAAGCAAGAAACATTAAAAATTGGCTTTTTTATTTTAAAAGAAACAAAAAAAACCAATACAATTATGTCAGTTGAAGGAGTAATAAGATTTTAAACCCCATCAATCATACAGTGTAAGCTCTTTTCTGCTACAAAACACATATATTTAAAAACAAGACTCTTCTATAAGGGCAGAAGGATCAAACTTACGGCAAAGCAATGAACATTACTGTCAAATAATAAAAACTAGAGTGCAAATTGTTACTGAATTTTCTGAATTAGCAAATTATAGCACCAACTTCATGTCTGATGGATTCACATGAACAACACTGCCAGAATTACTTGTTTTGTTAGACACCTGATTGACAACAGTCACAAGTTCAAACTACAATCCAATCCTATTAGATACATATGATGATGATCTGAGGAACAAACTTTTTTAAAGAGTTCTTAATGAATATGAATATATGAACATGAACAGAACTACCAAAAGAGGATTTCTTTCATAACTGATTGGTGCATTTGTTGGCTAGATCTCCCAACTTTCTTCAAGCTCAAGGAGGTAGACATAGCACTCTCTCCTCCAGGTTTTTCCTCAAAATAACCCTATTTGATAGATTGGGCTGTGACAGTATCAAAATCACCTACTGAACTTCTGTGGATGAGAATGGACTTAAACTCTCAGTCCAGTCCTAGACCTGAACCATTGTACAACATTGGGTCTCTATGGCATTACAATAACATGGAGGTGGGGAACCATCTCTCTGTTCATTTGAAATTTGCCCTTAATATTAGAACTTTTTAATGTTATATAAATAGTGAACTAGAATATCTATTTCATATTTTACTTCTAACAGAGCTCCCAGCACTTGCAAATCAGCATGAAGCTGATTAATCTTCTGATACTGAGACTTACCCTGAGAGTATACACACAGAATTAAGTTAGCTCTTGCTTAACACTCCACAAATTGGACTCTCGGTTGAAACATGCTTGAGTTATGCTAGCTAATATAAGAAACAGTGGACAATGCTGGGAACATGCTTTAGACCCATTTCTAATTCTTCTGTGAAATTCAAATAAGAAATCCTACCTAAAATCCAATTAGTCTTCTGATTTGATTGTTTAACTTTACTTATGGTTCCTCTCTTTCTTAAATTTCTTTGTATGAATTGATAATATTTGTGGCAACTGTGCATGAAACTAAGGTGTGAATTCAATCAGAAAAAGCAAATGTACTTTTCAGCTATGAGAATACTTACTGCAAATCCAAATGATGAAGCACTGTACCTCATTACAGAGACAGCTAAAAGGAAAAAGAAATTTTAAAATCTACATTCATTGAAATTTCATGCTTGATTATCACTCACTCTGAATAAATGACACTACTGTGCTACAATAACCTCAAAATGAATAAATATATCAGAATTGTTATTCAGAAACTCGAGAGAATAAGAAAGAATATCTGGAAAGAAAATGTGCATCACATGCTGAATATATAAATTCACTATTTCATCATAAATATTTATAAACATAGAATAAATTTTTAAAGGGATATAATCTATTAAAATGTAGAGCAGGGGTAGTCAACCTTGGCTCTTTTATGACTCGTGGACTTCAACTCCCAGAATTCCTGGAATTCTGGGAGTTGAAGTCCACGAGTCATAAAAGAGCCAAGGTTGACTACCCCTGACATAGAGGATTCTCTCTATGCAATTATAGAGTTCTGTTTTTCATACAGAAGGGCAAGAGATGCTTCCTCCTATTATCTGCAAGCAGCTCTTGGAATCCCTTCAACTCCCTAAAATGCTGTGTTTTGATTTCTGCTCACAAGGCTTTCTGTAGAGTTACTGTCACTGAAACAAAAAATACAGCTATCAAAACCATTTTTAAGAAACAAAATGTTCATAGTTTTTTTTTCACTAGTTGTTCAAATCAACACCAGCCAATACCAATTGTTCATTTTTGTTTTGTTATGGTTCAAAGCTGTGGAAATATCAGAATGCAAATTTCAGGTGTATTCAACATTGTTTCTCAACCTTGGCCACTTTAAGATGGGTGGACTTCAACTCCCAGAATTCCACAATTCTGGGAGTTGAAGTCCACCTATCTTAAAGCGGCCAGGGTTGAGAAACACTGTCTAAGATAATGTTAATACAATTTAAAAAATATACTTTAGAAACATAAAGGGCTTGAACATATAAAGTGTCATCAAATTATAATTTGTTACATTTTAAAATTTGCATTACTAATCCTTCTCTTTCATTTTTATGTGAAAATAAGAAGAGAGAAACAAGGAAACAAAAATGCGTATTTCTCATATCCTATTCAAAATGGGTATATTTAGTCATGTAATACAATGTAATTGTTAACACCTAAATCAATCTACTTAGCAGCAGAACAAAAATGGACATTTAAACATATAAATTAAAATGTACTGATTTTTGCATAGATTTCCAATCAGGACTCCCAGGATTAAAGGCCCATTTAGCCCTAGAAAGAGAGGGAAGTTCTTCAGATCAAAGGCCAGCTAACTTTTTTTTTCCTGATCTGATGTAGAAGTAGCACTTTCCACCTTCGATGGAAGACATATGGGTATGTTGTGTGTTGTTTCAGTGGTGATCCAGAGCTGCCTAGCTCCTTTAGGCTACTTGTGGCTGTTGCGGACCCACACACCCCTCTCTCTGGCTGCTGCTGACCTCCTTGCTTCCATTTTAGTTTGTATTGTGGGACTGACAGGATGGCAAGAGCAGAGTAAAAGAACCAGGATTGCTAGAGAAAGCTCCGACCTCTGCAAAGACTGCTAGACAGTTTCACTGTAGAAGCAAATGCCCCCAACATGCAGGTTGTAGCTTCAGGGCAAGAAACACATTTTGGGGAATTGGTTTCTACACACTAGTTGCTATAAGGGAGTCCTGATCTAAGCTAGTGCTTCCCAAACCTTAATAAATGATCCAAAATTAGATAAAGGTGGTTTAACTTTGGGTAATGACATACAAACCCATTACTTAATCACAACTGGCACATTTAAATTGACTTAAAGTTTTTTTTCTACACTGGGTAAAAAGGACTTTCTGATAAATGGTTTGGGGTATTTTTTATTTATCAGATTCTCTTTTTTTTCAATCCTGTAGTAATTACTTTATAAGTAACTCAAGGTGGCAAACATATCTAATACTCCTTCCTCCTCCTATCATCCCCATAACAACAACCATATGTGGTGAGTAGGGCCAAGACTCACCCAGCTGGCTTTCATGCCTAAGGTGGGACTAGAACTCCCAGTCTCCTGGTTTCTAGCCTGAAGCCTTAACTGGCAGACCAAACTGGCTCTCTGAAAGAAAAATTTGGGGAAGCTCTCCTCTAAACACTAGGACAGGATCTCAACAAACCCAACTGTTTGTCAGACCTGCCTAGAAACAAGGGCCTCACTGTGCTTCATTTATCATATAAGAATGATGCAAAATGAAAAGGGGAAATTATGTTTTTTTCAAAATGCCCTTCTACACTGGAGATTAGAAATAACAAATAGGCACATGTGCACACACACACACAGCACAATCATTTATAGGAATAGTCTGTAAAGAAAAGTTGTAACTCTTGTAGAGAGCAGAAAGAACATATAGCTTTAAACCTGATAAAAATATTTGTTAAATGATAATTAATTTTACTTTTTTATCATTATGTATTCCAAATGTTTTTGATAAATAGTTACATTAGCAGTTGGTTCCTGTCTCATTGCTAGGAGCCCAAACCTAATTATTTTTGATAACTAATTCTAAAAATCAGTGTGTATGTATTTCAAAATGTGATGAAAGAGGATCTTTTTTAGCACAGTTTATTTGTGCTTAAGAGGGAGAAAATATGTATTTCCTCCTTCTGTTCTGTGTCTGCACCCTTAAATGACCTGTTTAGACTTCACAGATTTTTGTTATACATGAGTACCAGTTGCTGGTACTGAAAATAGAAATCTTACATCTTCTCTATCTTTCCCCATATTGTTTACTGAAACAGAACACATGCATTCTTCAACAAGATATTAACAAGAAAGAGAAAGTAAGTGGATTGGTTGCTTTGGGTCCAGCCATGCAGTTATTCTAATTGTTTAATTCCTGAAGAAAATATAGATTAACAAGATTATCCATTGTGCTTGGTTTAAGTATCATTATATTATGGGCAAGGAACTATTAACCCGAAGGTAAATTACAACCTCTGAATAAGGAGGAACCTGGGTAGCATTCTTTCAGATTAATACATTTTATTAAAAGGCATATATGTTTTTTTCATCATTGCACATAAATAAATGTGTATATAATAATGAAATAACACATAATAAAATATGTTAGTTTGAAAAGGTGCCACCAGCTCCTTCTGATTTTTAGTTAACTACATGGACTCTTTTCCTACAATATATGTAATTAGAATCTGTGAGGTATCAATTTATTAATCAATCTGACCAGCAACCAAGTCAAACATCTGTTACAGGACTTTTATCCTTGTTTCTCATCTCTTCATGGGAGATATGTCTCCTCCTCCTAATTGAATGCACCCCGGAGACATTTTGCTGGTCTGTAACCAACTGTTACCACTCTAATGGCAGAAAGTGAAGAGGAACTAAAGAGCCTCTTGATGCGGGTGAAGAAGGAGAGTGCAAAAGTTGGCTTGAAACTCAACATCAAGAAAACCAAAATCATGGCATCCGGCCCTCTCAATTCCTGGCAAATAGATGGGGAAGAAATGGAGGTAGTGACAGATTTTATTTTCCTGGGCTCCAAGATCACCTCAGATGGGGACTGCAGCCAAGAAATTAAAATACGCTTGCTCCTGGGGAGGAAAGGTATGGCAAATCTAGACAGCATACTAAAAAACAGAGACATCACCCTGCCAACAAAAGTGCGTATAGTCAAGGCCATGGTTTTCCCAGTTGCAATGTATGGCTGTGATAGTTGGATCATAAGAAAGGCTGAGCGCAAAAGAATTGAGGCCTTTGAACTATGGTGCTGGAGAAGACTCCTGTGAGTCCCCTGGACTGCAAGGCGATCAAACCAGTCAGTCCTAGAGGAGATCAACCCTGACTGCTCTTTAGAAGGCCAGATCCTGAAGTTGAAACTCAACATGAAACCGGTGGATTACTCTTCCTTCCTGAGTGACCTCTTCCCGGATTACGACCCTTTCTAACTCCCGTTATCTTCTTCCCCTGCTGTCTCTTACTCCACCGACGATGGAGTCACTGAAGCAGTAGGCGTGAGCTTAAATGGACTCCAGAAGATGGTAGAGGACAGGAAGGCCTGGAGGAACGTTGTCCATGGGGTCACGATGGGTCGGATATGACTTCGCAATTAACAACAACAAACCAACTGTGAGAAATAAAATGCTTGACTAAGATGGGGTACTCTTATATTGTTAATCTGTTTACCATCAAACATAAAAGTCACACTGAAAAATATTAATAATCTTTATTATGGATTTACTTTTAAGCTCAAACCGTAAGGGAAATAATGGCCTTTCCCTTTTGGGATTAAGTAGCCACTCTCTTGAAGGAAACAAATAGAAGGTTCCACTCGGTTAAAATATACAGATCAATTATTTAATCTACATGTAGAGAGCAAGTGACAGGCACAAATATTTGAAAAGAGGAGTTTTGTTTTACAAAAAAAAAAATCTCTACGACGCAATGTTACTTCTTTTTATGGCATTTCTAACATTTATTGTTTTATGATTGGTAATTATATTATGAACTTTATACTAATTAAATAATCCCTTAAAATTAAAGGAATAATAACTTGTAGTAAGTTTTGATTTTTTTTATAGGTCTTTCAATTTTTCTACTGTAATCATTTATTTGAAGTTTTGCGCCCACTTTATCATACATTTTTAACTTGTTCCATTCCTGTATCATATTTGAATAATGTATTTGTATTTGTGTGTGTGTGTGTATGTGTGTATTTCCTAATATGTGATCTTGATAAGTGTTTCAAATTATTTATTTCAAACTCCCTCCTTCTTTCTTACTTAAAAGCAAGAAAACATAATTGAGAGTGTTTTTTAAAAAATGCATTCCTTTTATTGTTTTCTTACTACCTTCATCTTTCACATTGTGATTAAATTTACACATTGCTTTTAAATTAGTTTCAAAATTACTCAAGTTTAAACACTTAGCAAATGAATACTGATTAAAATAAGGTAATCAATAGCTTTTAAAGTAGAATGCTGTGAAACTCATAGCAGAGACCTGCTATTATTATGCACGGAATATTCTGACTTATACAAGTATGTGTTTCTAAACTCCATGATACTGATCCCTCTAAG